AGCGAGTTAATCAGCGATTTTATCTCCTGTCAGCCCTTCGTGGCCCGGAATCCATCCTATTTTTACAGGCACAGCTGCTCTTGCGGCCATTTTCAAGAACTTTTGGATCCGCCAGGATGATGAAACAGTTATTCTCATCAGTAAAGTCAGAACAGCCGCGGAATTGTCGAGCATGAAATAGATAGCGCTGAGATCTCGATCTTGCTTGCTGGTAGTGATTGCCTCTAGAGCAGCTAAAGCACCGTGCGCCTCCGCGTCGTAGAATTCCGCATTCGTAATTTTGCTTGAGCCGCTTTGCTCAATTACCGTGCCTGTGCCACTTATAAATGTCGCAAAGACCTATAACACTCTGTCGGTAGACGCCCCAGAACCATCACTATAAACGCAGAGATAGTCGGGCGGGAGGGTAGGTAGCCACTCTCTTATAAACTTAGCTGCTCCTTTCTTGCTTGTCCAGCAAGGATTCGGCTGAGAGGATACCAGAGGTCGGAGCGGTGGAGGAAGTTCAGCCTCTAGAAGAAGTCGACACATCCTCTGGACCCTTGAATCATGAACTCTGTCGAAACCAAGTCTGGTTTTGATGCATGTCTTTAGTTTGAGTCGGTGACGAGCACTGTCAGTACTTTCCGTGGCCCGAAGTCGAAGCGGATGATAATCATCCAGTCTTCGGATTCTCGCGGCAGTCTTGAGCCTGCGTTACTCGAGCAGTATGTGTGCTGGCGGAATGCCAGTCTCCCTTCTCAGGGCTGCGATGGGCATGGTGCGCCAGGTTGGCAGAGCCACGCGGATTCCGAAGGCAGAAGTTTGGTCAATAACTTTGCGCTGTCTCTTACATGAATTTCGCGCGACACTCCGATATGTTTCCCTAGTTGGCCCCGGGTACCAGGATTCCGCTGCGTGCATCGCGATTGGCAGGACTACCGTGCGGATCACTGTGGTTAGTAAGTCGGGTCTTGGTCCCTGAGTACACTGAGTGAGTCGCCGGAAGTGTTGCACTAGCCGCATTGCTTTGCTGGTCCACTTTACGACGTGGCTTTCGAAGGTTAGGCCACGGTCCAAGTAAACTCCGAGCCATTGGATGCCTGAACATCGCGAGGACCTACCCTTATCGTTGGAAGGTCGTATCCCCTGGATCTAGGGCCAAGGAAATAGACTGCTTCAGCCTTATCTAGGTCGAAGGAGACGGCATTTTCAGCAGCCCACCCTAGGACTGCATCGACTTCTCGCTGGACAGCTGCTGCAGCTTCGTTTGGAGTCGAACCTATGCCGAGGATAGCAACATCATCTGCATAGCCAAATCTCCAACTGCTGCCCCCCACGACTTCGGCCATATAAAGGAGGAAGAGAATTGGGGAAAAAGGCGATCCTTGTGGCAGCCCACATTCTAGGTGAATTGGGTCTGTTAATCCGTCCTCGTGTCTGACGCGGGCAGATCGTTCTTTCAGGAAAGAACTTATCCAAGTGAAACCTGGTTTCGGCCACCCAACTTTATTCATCCTCTGCAGCAGTCGTCAATGGAGTACAGCGTCAAATGCACCCTGTACGTCCAGAGTGACAAGAACTGCTTTCTTCTGCCTCTTCGTTGCATGCTCCACATCGTGGATAACGCATGAGACGAGGTCATTAGCGGATCTGCCGGGGAGTGCTCCAAAAAGCTGCTGCGGCACGGTGTCACGGCGTAGAAGAAGCACAAGTGAAAGTACAGCTTGTATAACTAAATACTCACTTTATTGAGCGAATACTAAGACAAGGAAGAAAGAAAGGAAATCTAGTGATAAAAGAATCTGTGGGCATTTGTGTGTCCTCTCGCTTCACATGATCACGTGACCTTATCTTATCTCTTCACGCATATTGACTCCTTACCAAGCATACCTTCGTCACCTGATATATGTAATGAAATGGCAAAATGCCGTGCCGTTACACACGGCCTTGTACGAAATGGCGGTGTAAGCCATACGCCTTGCGACTAGTCTCTCAAGACCTTTGCCGAGAGAGGAGAGTAGTGCGATGGGCCTCCATCCTTTAGCTGTACTGAGATTACGGCCAGGTTTGGGGAGAAGAATTACTTTCGCTAGCTTGAATGCCTTCGGGAAGTGGCTCAGTCGAAGTGAGCTCTCAAAGAGTACTCTCACTGCTTGTCCAACTGACGGCCAGGCTGTCCTAAGAAGACGAACAGAAATTGCGTCTGCTCCAGGGGCCTTATTCTGGCAGGCCGTTGTTACCCACTTGGCTTCTTCGTCTGTGACGCTTGAGACCCATGGAAGGTTTACGCGTCCTGGCTCGAGGTGTTCGGTGTCCACGTCGTTTTGGCTGGTGAACCGGCCGAGAAGGAGATCGCGCAATAGAAGTGCACGCTTTCCTGGATCCGAAACAAAACCATCCGGAGTTTGGAGTGGCGAAGCGGCAGATGTAGGTTGCGGCTTTGCCCAGCGTGCCATCCGATACATGTCGATGTCTGTTGTAGCTTCCGAGAACTTTCGCCGCCAGTATTGGCGTTTCGCACTTCTGACTATGCGGCGGAAATCCTTTCTACTCTCTTCGTCCCTGAATATCCTATATTCGCGTTTGGCCTGTGTGCATTCCAACGTCCACCAAGGTGCCGTCCTACCCTACTTCGCACTCCCGCGTCTTCCGGTAGCCCTGATTGCATCGCTTATGGTTTGGACCAGCTTATCAGCGAGGTTGTCTACCACGCTTTTTGAGTCGAATGGCTTTAACCCTATTCCATGGGCCAACCTACCTAGTACCTTGGCGAAGTCTTCGAGGGCGTCGTCTGTCACTCGTACCGGTTGAGCTGTTTTGATAACCGCTCGCTTTCAAGTTCGGGCGGGGAACGTCTCCTGCAAGAGTTCTGTGATCTGATGTCGAGTCGAGCTCTATCGAAATATCTGCAAGGGCACCAGCGTTAGACCAGACTGGGTAGAGTGTATTTCCGAGATCGTGTGTCGGGACGCCCGGTGTAGAAGTTAGGTCCATACCATGCTCGAACATCCATTCAGTGAGCACCTGGCCGTCGCCGTGTAGCCTAGTAGCCATCGGCTGCCAGTCAGGATGAACGGAATTGAAGTCTCTGCCAATAACTGTAGGCCCAGATAGAGCCCATGATAGCAGCGGCAAAAGGTCTGCTCCAGGAGCGCGGTAGACGGAGACAAATGTGATTCCTTCTACCTTTACTGCAGTAAGATATGGTGATGTGTCGTAGATTGCTTGCAGTTGGCACTTGATCCGTTTTTGCGTGTAGATGAGGGAGCGTGGCCTTAAAGAGTTGGCAGCCGCATGGGGAGGCAAATGCCTATCGAATCCGGGATGCGACTTGGTGAGCCAGAAGCCGTCCTTACGTTGGATCCAGGGTTCCTGGATAAGTAGGACATCGGTTCCTTAATCCCAAGCGGATTGCAGGATGATGTCCGTAGCCGGGTCTCCTCTGCCCAAATTAGCACAGAGGAACGATATTGTTGTTGCCGTTTTTTGAAGCTCGGTTGGGTTGTGTCCTTACGGGCATTGGGCAACGTTTGTATTTTCGTTTTCGGCAGTAGCCTCGGTGGCTTTCTGCTTTGCTTCCATCTCTCTGATCGAAGCGTTCCGTTCCTTTTGACCTTGTTCGCGAATTACCGCCAGCTGCTCTCTTGTGCGCTGTACCGTTTTGCCACCAACCCGCGTCGGCCTTGCCATGCAGTTAGGCTCGACGGTAGAGTGTGGTCCATGGCAGTTGATGCATCTCGGGATAGCCTGTTTGCAATCGGTGGCCTTATGCTCGATAGAGCCGCATAGTGAGCAGCGTTCCGCTCGCGAGCAGATCTTTGTAGGGTAGTGTCCCCAGCATCGGTTGCATTGCGCAATATTGGCCTTGCGCTGGAGTTCGTGTCAGCGACCGCTCTCTTCGAAAAGTCTTTCTCCTAGCTTTGACTTGCCGGTTGCAAAATGCAGCACCCAGTCGGTTGATGGCCTAGCCATGCTTGTCGCAAAGGCACGAGCCGAGGTCGGTCTAACGCTCGTTTTTAAAGTCGCTTCTTCCATCACCATCTCCGATGTTACTGGCGTTGGTCCCTCTGGCGTGTGGAGTCTGTCTGGTACATTCAGAGCTAACACTGAGATCCAGTTGGAAGCAGCTTCCAGTTTCAATTCTGTGCTCTCCAATTATATGGCGCCCGAGAGGAGCGCGTTTCTTGCTCCATCTTCTTCAATCCGTATCGCAAACTCTGAGTTTACGATAGTAACCTGCTTGATTGCTGAGTTAGCCAAGCGAAGCTTGCTTGAGAGACTTATTTTAATATAGTGAGGAGACATGCGTCTCCACGGGTGGTCGGGCTTGACCCGCAGGAACACACGCACGTCTGGGCGAGCTGGTTTGGGAGCTAAGGCATTAGGCCTCGGCGTTTATGTAGGCCTCGTTGCTTTTGACTGAGGCCCGCTGGCTGGTAGCGATTTTGTCGCTACTAAGTGTGCAGGTTTGGCCTTTTTCTTCACTACCTGATTCCAGGATCTCTCAGTGGTGTTGGAATTTTTTGTCATCGCCTTCGATTGGCCTAATAGGCTTTGTGGGAGCCGGTTCTTTGCCTTTTGACTGGCTTCTGCTTTCTCTCGCGAGGATCTTTACTGGCAAGACGTTAAATTGATCAGAGTCTGTGAACTTTATTGGCCCAATCTCGTATTGTGACTAGGTCATTAAGGATCTCTATTTAGAATCAAACAGAAAGACCGCCCATCCTTTGTCTCCGTATGCACGGATCACCTCCGATGTCTACATAATTCCCTGTCCTTATATGTCACATGACCTCTGAACTAGAGCTGACTAACCTAAATATGCATCCGCCCACAAAATCAAATCAAATCACAAGGGTGGTCAGTGCACACGAGGCTGAAGTATGATATTTTCTACGAACCTCGCCATGATACAGCTCAATACGCCATCACAACGGCACTGTTAGCATCGGCTATAGATTGTTGTAGAATCTGTCAAATTTCTCTTCTATCCACTCAAACAATATCACACTATCACCATGCCACCTAAGGTAACCCGATCGGGTCGTGTCAGAGGAAAAGAACCTGCCAATGACCCCGGGGAAACTCCTTCATTAGCCGACACAACTCCAAATCTCCCAGCAGAAAGATCTATATCTACGGCTAAGCCGTCAAAATCTTCGTCAATGGATACATCCCGCTCTGCCGAGCCTTCAAATCCTGAACAGAGGTCTACTACCTCAAGGAGAGGCGGCCGAGGTGGTGCGCATGGTGTCACTGCAGCACCTACCGCCAGTCGCTTTAAACCGAAAAATGTTCGAAGAAGTGCCACGGAACTGGCTGAATTAGCTCGAAAAGAACAGGAAAGGCTGGCTGAGGTTGCTGAAAAGCTTGCACGAGATCAGGCTCGTCTGATGAGGGGCCGTGGAATGCAACGTGGTAGAGGAGATGCAATGGGACGAGTAAGAGGAGCGCTGGGATCTGCAAGCTCAATTTTTGGAGTCGTACCCGAGGGACTGAGTGAGAATTATTCTTCCTTTTTCAATTTTGACTAATATATTTCAGAAAAAGCAGCCGGAGTTCTTTCACTTAGGAGTGCCGGTGGAAGTAGCGGCGGTGGGTTTGGAGGCCAGAGTGGTAGTGGCTCTGCTGGTAGGTTTTCTGTCAAGAATGAAGGATCAGGAAATTTTGGGCACAGCAGAGGAGACGGCGAAAGAAACAACTATTCGCACTTTACACCAAAATATCCAGGCGAAGATGAAGACCTTATAAGGATCGATATTGAGCATATTAACCTTCTTTCCGATGATGAGCCTGACACTATCTATGCTGAAAACCCAAAGAAGCTCAGTAAAGGTACGGCACTTACCAAAAGTAATCTTAGACCCGTCCGTCTTCATCGCGAGGAACATAAGGAGCGGGTAACAATCGTTAACACTGCACCAAGTGACCAGCCACTATCGGTGTCCAAACCAGAATCAGGCAGTGATGATGGGCTGTTTGTGGCTGATAATACTCGGTCAACACAAAATTTTCCGAACCCTACTAAATCAACAGCCTCTACCTCATTGAATGACGCCATAGTCAAGACCGAACCTGGCACTGAGGTTGCCCTTGCATCTCTCCCGCCCGTCTCTATCATGCAACAAACAGATGATCTGCGCACAAACGACTCTTCAAAGACTAAAGTAGAAATTGATGACACAATATCCATTTCATTATCCTCTATTCCCCTTACTTTGGAAGAAAATGATACATTAAAAGCAGAGATAGGCTTGGAAAAGAATCCAAAGCAACCCATAAAGAAGCGGGGTTCAAAACCAGTGATTCAGACCGAAGAGGACCAAGCTGAATATGAACGACATTTAGAAGACGTGGCTATCCTAGCCAATGAACTAGGCGGCTTACAACAAGAGACGTCCTCGAAAACCCTGGACCCAGACGGTGACGAGAGCATGGAGGATAATAATACACCTCCAGAACAAGACAAGAAAGAGGGAAGGCTATACCTATTTCAGTTTCCACCTGTATTACCAATATTATTCAACCCAAATACAGAGAACAAGCCACGATCAAAATTTGAGGACAAAGAAACGGATGTGAAGGTTAAAAAAGAAGATGAGCCGAAACAGGCAATTAAAACTGAGATAGAGCCCGAAAAAAGGCTAGATATGTCCCAGTTAGGAGATGCCAGCTCTCATATCTCTGGTATAAAATTGGAGGAAGACCTTGTCCCTATCTTTGACGAAAAGCTGGACATCACAGGGCGCGGTGAGATTGTTCACGAAGAAGGCTTTGTCGGGAAGCTAGTAGTCAGAGAAAGTGGACGAGTAGAGCTCTGCTGGGGTGGTGCAAAAATGCTCGTGGGGCGGGGTGTTGATGCTGGATTTTTAACGACAGGCGTTATTGTTGATAGCATTGAGAGAGGACCCCAAGGAGGTGGTGTACCCGAGGGTAAAGCACTTGGAATGGGCCAAATTATGGGAAAATTCATCGTTACGCCAGACTGGATGAATATGGCCTGACGTTCCTCAATAACGATGAAATTTCCTACGTTTTTATCGAAAACTAATTAACATTGATTGGCAAGACTAAAATTAGTCACCAGGAGTCACCTCTTCCGATGGATTCTAACATCTTGTGGAGCACTAATCTGATATATCTAGCTAGATATTCGGAAGCTTGATTTTAGCCAAAAAATTCTTCTATAGCTAGACTTTAAAGCTCAGAAGAATGAAAATGTGATAGATGATTGCTACGATTACAAGGTCATGAGGTGATAAGCTGTCGGCAATTCTAAATAGCTGAGGGATCTAGTCAACTAGATGATGTTTAACGTAATTTGACGAAAGACGAAAACTGAACAAATATCAGCGCTGTTCCTAAGAAGCTAAGAATGAAAAAATCTCTCAAAATGAAGTTCAGTCAAATTTCACCATACTGAACAAGTTGGCCCACATGACGATGGTTCAAGGTTCCCAGCAAGATCAACTCGACATAAGCCTTATCAAGTTTACAAGTTAAGCTTAATAAAATTTAATTTAAACTACCCCACTACACTGCTCTTCGTCTCAGTCTCTAGACCTAGCTGACCTCCAAATATACGCCAACGGAAATATAAATACCCGCAGAACAGAATTATGATGCACAAACCATGCAAGGCAAAAATTCCTGAAAAATATGAAAGATAGAGGTATAGATAATTTAGAAAACGGTTAGGATCGATATATACTCCAAGAGAGTAAAATTGAGGTCTGTGAAAAAGATTATTTTAAATGAAGAATATTGTGCGCGCCAACCCTTTAGTTACGAGAGTGCAGACAACACTTTAAACAAAATCAAAGTTGGATGGTGCAGTGGTACATCATGCAGGTCAGTTTGCCAAGTAGAGTCTGGATAGCTTGGATACCTAACCTACTTGAGACAAAGACTGCTGGTTGAAATCCGGCAGAACTAAACCAAATTTCTCGCTGTGCTGGCGTGCATAGATGTCAAAGGTTTTGTAAGTTCCCTCTGATGGGTGTCTATGGAGGAGGGTCAATTGATTTGTATAAGCAAGCATACCTTGAATCAGTATTTGCGAATCAAATACAGATGATGAGTATCTCGGGAACTAAAAGAGCCGTCGAGCACCCTTAAAAAAATAATAGTGATAGCTAAACACTCGAATACCTGAATGTACATGGTATAATTTCTTAGAAAACTTATGCGATAAATAGATCCATAGATTCGCCTGCAGTATATTGTATGCCATTTAATTTAGTAACTATTAGTTCTACGCTGGGTACACTCACTTCCTTACGTTCTGCTAAAGTGGTCATTAAGTGGTGAAGTCGTTAAACTAACTAGGTACTGGTGATTAACGGGGGAAGAAACTCAATAACTGTCAGTGGTGTCCCCTACGAACCTCCAGCTCTCACTGTAGAGTCTGCAGAGCCGAGATTGAGTAACACCTTATCAACTTTGAGCTGAGTTATCTCCCCCTCCATCAAAGATACGCTTCAGATAACACACAAGACGACCAAGACGATGATAATGATAAACTTCGCAATATCAAAGAAGTAGGCCCACGAGGCAAAAATTCAAATCACTCCACCATATCAATCTTTCACTCCCAAAGAGTCCGATTCTCAACTAAACTTCATCAAGTCAACAAGTACGACATAGTACATCCTCACCCCAATGACCACACCTCTCGTCGACTTTCTCTGGCCTTAGTTGACTGCCAAATACACGCCCACGCCGATATTTATACCCGACGGAGGAAGCAAAGCGTGGAGCACAAATCTGGGAGATAGCTCTTTGGGATGGACGTGAGAGAGAACAGGACAAGTTTACAAGATGATGCAGAATAGGGATACATTCTCGACGGGCGTGAAATTCCGAATTTTGGCAACGAGTTTTACGAATTGAACTTTGTGCGCGCCAAGACTTCGCTTGCGAGAGTGCAGCTGACACTATAAAAACAAGCAAACGATGGAAGGTGTTGTGGTCCGCCTCCTGGTGATGTTCTCTGGTATGGTTTGAGTAGCCTGGGCACCTACTCCACTTGGGAAGGAGACATCTCAGACCATATTTCGCGCGGAGAAAAGTTGATGGATGACGGAGGCATGTCTGGATAACTCAGGGTTTTTGAGACGTTCCCCTGGCTGGGTATTCACGGATGAGGGTTGACTTGGGGTGGAGAAAAAGCCACCATAACTTCGCAGTGGTACTTTCAAATGAAATCCGAGGCATGAGTGCTACTCTTGTAAATTGAGTCATCTTTTCTGTACTTTTCTTTGATATTGTGTGATAGCTAGATAGCTGCATACGAAATTAAAATCTGATGCAAAAAAAAAAAAAAGATGATAATGATGCTGGGAATGAGGAAAGATAATTTGGTACCAGACGCTACAACGGTAGTCAGAGAAGCCCTCGTTATATCACAACATGTGCTACCCACCGGCGGGCGAACAAAGAGCCCACGCTAGCAAAGTAAAAGACCCTTCCGCCCTCAAGAAAAGCAGATTTAGACTCGTCAAAAATATCGTCCCTACTAATCTATACCTCCGAATCTACTAGCTAGGAGGGCATCTGAAATACATGAGTTACTCGACAACCCCACGTCCGTAACGACTTTTGGATGCTAGGCTAGGCTCCTTCACGACACTCACTCTCGACCAAGACTTTTCTGATATCCTTTCACGACCTTCGGTTTGTCTTGCGGCATGAATCAAGGGAGGAGTAAGGAGGAGGCTAGGAAGGTTGAGAGACGCTCACAGGTATACACAGGTCTGATGCGCCCGGCTAGACGGCCACTTCGTCATAGGAGAGCCCCGAACCCAGTGGTTTTTGAGACTTTTCCCTGAAGCTACACACCCGCAAATGGCCATCGTTTCGTTGGCTGGAGAAGGGAGATAATGCCGGGATAACGGCTCCTCTTAGTGTGTACTCGAATGAAGATCTGTGGGGGTATTACTGCTCGAAAAAAGTCGTGAGGGAGGCAAAGGAGGGAGTACACTACCCGAGGCATAGATACTCCTGGCCTGTAGGCAGAAAGGACCTACCGTGGTACCACGGTGTCAGGTTTGCAGTGGGGCTTCGGCAGGGGTTTTAGCGTGCAAACTAACATCCCTTAGGCATAGTCACCTTCCATATTTGAGTTAGCCCCCGTATTTGTGCAAATTTTTGAAAAATTTTGTATAGCAGTTTTTATCTGGACATCATAGTTTGCAGTGGGTCTTCCCTTCGTACTAAACCTCATTTGTATAATGATGGGCTGCATAACATTTGTGAATTTTTGCTACTTGACTTTATAACTTATTTACAAGAGTTCAAAGGTTTTCAAATTACAAAATAGAGCCAGTCTTATCCTAACCTTAGATCTGAACATGTGGCTGGAATATTTTCAGGCCTTAACATCTGGTCGGTCCCCCGTCCGTATCTACCACAGCCTGACATCTTTCTGGCATACTCTGAATGAGTCTCACAAGATCTTCGGAAAACACGGAATCCCATGCCTCCTTTACAATCTTGCAAAGAATATCTTGAGTTAGCTGCTTTCCGCAACCTAGATTCAGATGATGACGCTGGATGTAATCCTTCATCCTATTCCAAACAGCTTCAATCAGGTTAAGATCAGGCGAGTTGGCCGGCCAGAAAATCGGTTGAATGAGCCTCTGGCTCATATCTTCCCTTGTAATTGCGGCTGTGTGGACAGGAGCATTATCCCGCTTTACGGAAAGCCGAGGTCTCATCGAGACCATGCCATCGATAAGAGGAACTATCTTCTCGCAATATTTTTGGGGGTTAATGGAACCCCATTCCTTCTCCCAAAACAAACAAAGGTCTTTTTCTGGCCCTGCGAAGCAGCCCCAGAACATCCATCCGACCCTAATCTTCGATTTCTCTCCAATACAATCAGCGTTGTATTCTTGGGAAGTCTAGCTCAAAATGTTCGAGCATCAAATTACCATCTTCTCATTGAGGAATGTACGAACACTTCTTGTCACCCATTCTCTAGAATGTCTTCTATCCTCTACCCAAGTTTCGTCTGTCCATAAAACTGACGTCCAGTCTTCATATGTCTAATTGAGATGAGCTTTGGCCCAATCTCTGAGTGTCTTCATAGTTTCCGAGATACTGGAGGCTTTAGACGAGCTACATGTAGCTGATATCCTCTTTTTTTAAGTTCTCTTTGTATTACTCGCTCGCTAACACCAAGATGTCTAAAGGGGCCAGAGGCGAGTTCCAGAAGTGTTTTGCGGCGGTTTTCAGGTGAAGACTCAACGTAAGATGTAATCTGATCAACATCATCTGCTCTCAGTCGTAAGGATGTTCTTTTTCTCTTTTTAGGGGATACAGTTCCGTGGCGCAGCAAATTACTAAATTGTCCCCGAGAAATGCCTGGCTGCACGGCAATCTGCGTCCGGTTTTTGCCACATTCATGCAGCACATAAATCTTAATTTTTCTTTTAATTCATATTTGTTCATATCTAAATTTTCTACTTCCTAAAATGTTTTGATCTCCGGATAATTGTTTGACTCGAGGTGTTGAAGGTGGGGTTTGAGGTGGATTCATCTGTAAAATAAGGATATTATCGAGTAAAGCCATGTGTCTTCTGAATAAATAGCTTTGTATTCGATAAATCTAATTCTTAGATTCAGTCAAGCACAAGATGAGAAGAGCTGTGTAATTTTTTTAGTGGTCAGCAGATAGAGAAGTGGTGAACAGGTTGGATTTGCATAAAAGTGAGGGTGACATGAAATCAAATTGTGCCCTTGGTTTAGGCCCGGAAATCCCGGTCAATAATTATGTACTCTGTCGAAATGGGTGCTAACAGGGGTACAAACTCTGAAGCGAATATGCGCCCCAATTAAATTCACTGAAAACTTGAAATCGTGGCACCACGGTAGGTGCTTGAACATGAAACGCCTACACGTGAAATAGATGCCAATCAAATTTTGGCATTACTCAGCAAACACCCACGCAATTGATTCGAATAGAGTGGCCTAGAATCCTACCTTGCATTAATGTCGAGCATTGAGCAGTCAAGTTCCATCAGAACCAAAAGTCGGATCGATGGAAAATAAGTCTCCTGGAATCGCCATTCCTACTCCACCGAAACCTGACAAGGGCCCAAAGCAGTCTAGCAATTCAAATACGAAGTGAGCACATGGGGCTCAACTCGTATTCACACAGAAGAAAAGTACCCGGAGTCTACAGTCCAAGCTGTCCATGTAGCTACCAATCGCAGAACCCCAAGCACATGATTATGTCCTGCCCCCGATGGTCAAACGGAAGAGGAGAGATCTGGAGACAAGCGAAATATTGGTCCTACGAAGCTATGCTAAGCAATCCTGGAGATATCAAAAGGATAAAACAGTGGATCCTAAATCATGGTTGGATAGAGCAATTCCAGATGACAAAGGCGGTCGAAATGCTGCTGTGGGAAATGAGCAGGTCATGCCTTTCTTGACGTCGATAAAGCTGATGTGATTGGTTTATATGGAGGGCACTATAGTGTAACTGCGCTTCCTAAAGGATACTTTATAAAAACATAGAAATTAATCAGGAAGGTTTGGGGGGTTTTCACCAAAAGGTTTCCTTCCTTGTAAATTAGAAAGTATATAGACACCTGCATGGGCCCATAGGGCGCCAAATCAGGATAATGAAATCAAATTCAAAATGTCGAGCATCAATTGCGAAAAAAAGGGAGGATACAGTAGTTTTTTAGACGATAGAATTGTCCGATAGTGACAGGTTATGCGGACACGCCAAACGCCCATTCTTGGGCATAGAGGCCGGGCCATACCCGTGAGCCTACTTGGCGATAAATGCAAACAAACATGAAAACACCCACACACCTTGTATATTGAACTCGCTGTAATTGCTCCCAATTCCCCCTCCGTAGCCAATCTATCTTACGTGCCTAAAGCTGCCTCTCTGCTATCCTCTCACTTCAGTATTATCACCACTAGTCTCGCGTGCATATTATAAACATCATTCACTCTCTGATTCTAATCTTCCACATGGCACACAGTACGCTGCAGTAGGTAGGTATCCAGGCGTACATGCGAAAGTTGGTGCGAACATCGCACCAGATACATATGCATATTGGATCGATGTTTTTGGGGACCTGAGACGAAATAGAAACCCAGTGAGATTTGTACTCTGTTTTGAATTTACAACCTTCAATGGCCTCAGGGCTATGATAACCCGAAGTCAAGATAATCATTACAGCTATTTTTCTACCTCACTTCAATGTAAAGTTGGAGACTTATCCAAGACAAAGAAGCCATAGTAGAAGAATTTGCTACAAGGTTCAGGAATAAATAAATAAATGTTTTCAGTACACTAGAAAAGAGCTTTCTCCATGACCATGTGGTTCAGCGAGATGTTTTCGTAGATTACGGATAGTAGAGAGAGAAAATTCGAAGCATGGGGAGAAACCACTAAATAAATTATTCTTAATTTTAGAGTGATACAGGCTGTAAGAGTCGAGTTCAGTGTGATACCCTATCGCAAACATATTTTTGAAGGCTGGATTTCTCTAATTAGAAGGCTTTATGAATTATTCATCGTGAGTACTTACAATTATCATGATTTTCCGGAGTTCTGATGGGCCAGAGCCGTATTACTTTCTTTTTAATGATAGGGAAATTAGGGATTCTGCCATAAAAGGCCGACTCCCAGTCCTTTAGGGCGAACTCTAGATAAAGCCATATTGTTTTGGACAGGATCCTATGTCCAAAGCAAGTCTCGGGCCAATAACTATCTTTTATTCTTTCGAGGTTTAAGACAGAGGATGGAGTATAGATGTTCTCTGACCTGATCGATGATAAATCCCATACAGTTACGCATTTCTCATTCCTGTTGATTGTATTGATGATCCCCTTGAATTCATGATTGCTCATGTCAAAAACAGCACGGAATACACCAGGAGAGCCTGGCGAGAGAAGGTTAGAGGATATAATGGAGCGGTGGCAGGAAGTAAAAATACCAGAAGCAGGGTCGCGGGATAGCTTGTGGTGCACAGGGTACCAGTAAAGATCATCTCCGCTAAATTCATCCCCCGTATATTTTTTGTCGATAGCTTTCTTTGATCTAGAGCGCCTTTTAGGGAAACTTGCAATCCAGTCGGGCTCCTTTAACTTATTAACAGAGGATTCTGGGAAAAACTTCAAGCCACATTTATATCCAAAAGCGGGATGTACTAGATTCCACCACTGATTCAATGAAGATTTTTCCGCATTATCCTCTTCAAGAGACTTGCGGACTGGGTTGCATCTCTCGAAACTAATTTTCTGGCCTGTTTCCTTGGGTTTTATCATTACCAAACCCATAATTTGGCCTCTGGTATTAAAAACAAGGCGGACTTTCCCTACGTTTCCTAGTCACTGATTCAGTCATTGCCTTGCAAAATAGAAGGAATATCTAAGGAATTAATTTACTGTTGTCGTAAAATATCTCTCTAAACAAAATAGGCCATGAGAGAAGGATGTCTGGTTTCACATCAAATAGTTGTGTATCTTCGAATAATTTTGGAAATTTTCTATATAATTTTTCAAAGAAAAATGATCGGAAAGCTCTCTCGACGGCTTCCCGTACATGCTCAATCGGATAAAAATTTAATTGACATACAAAGCCATTGGTTCCAGCTGGAAGGTATATGTCCGAGTATGAGATATCTTCACATTTGATTTGGTGAATAAAACCGAATATTGTAAGCAAGACACCGAACTTGATCCACATCATGAGCGGATGGCCGGATAGGAATTTCGGATCGTGAAAGCAACAGTCGGGAAAAGTGTTGTGACAAACGCGTGCGCAAAAACTTCGGAAATAGGGACACCCTACATGATATATGGGAACGTGGAAAACAGTTCAGTCTAAAATGGATGAATAATTATACTGATACTGCCAAGTAGCCAATTTAAGCTACCTCTACTAAAATATCCAGCATTCGAGTCATACCATGAAGCTTATCATGGTCAGATCGAATGATAGGGCTCAACTTCTACTCATCATCCACTCACTTTTCTTGATCATTCAGATGCCATCCGATGATTTTATGTTATAAATGCCAGGCTACGAGAGGTAGAATAGCTACCAGTAATGCATTACACGTTCGTTGGATGATATGATTAATTTTGCGGCAGAGGAGTATGTAGAGTATGTTATGCTTGATCTTTATTTACATGGGAGAATCATTATTCTTATATACAAGTGAATTTAATACGGCTCTCATCGAAATCATTCTTCGTAATCCCAGATTGATAGTGTCAACTTCCATTCTATATTAGTCTAATCCTTCCATACCACATCGGCCTATTCCATACATTTTACTAGCACCATCTCTGTTCATGTGTCGCCAATCCTCAATTTACACATGCAGAGGGTTGGATGGTGCAGTGGTACACCATCCGGGCTGTTCTCCCAGGTAGAATCTGTGTAGCTTGAACACCTACCCCATTTGATACAGGAGAAAGCTGGTCCGACTCCAGTAAAACCCATACACCATACTCTCTCGCGGTGATGTCGTGTGTGTGTGGGATGATGAAAGCACACTCGGATAACCAGAGATTTCTCACGCTTTTCCCTGTGGTGGATATGCACGGAAGAGGTTATACGCCGTAAGGGTCAACCTCGAGTGGCATCTGCAAATGAAATCTGAGTGTGAGTGTTCTAAACGTCAAATTAAATCATCCTACTAAAAAGTTCATAGCTTCTGATAAAACCTGCATGGGCCTCAAGGCGCCAAATTAGGATAATTGAATAATTTACTTATTTTATGCATGTGCAGGAACTTCCATGCTACAATCATAACCGTTCGGGAAACCGGCTGCTTCGGGGGCCCACCTTCGAATCCGTCTCCAGCTCTCAGCGGAGACGGTGGGAACTAGTCATAGCACAATGCATGGCAGGTAGGAAAACGAGACGAGAAGTGTCGTTTTTCCAACCACAAACTGGATTACTGGGCTTGGAACTTTAGTTGTGGGAGTTTACGGGAGTTTCCATTTTTCTTTCTTTTAACTAGCTACTGGTTGTATAGTGGTTCACGCGGTGAAACCGAGGTGGGCATGCGGAAAGTATGATCTCGGCCGTGTACACCGGTCTTTGACTCCTAGGAGATATAGAGCATAGCTTAGGACCCTAATATAATTCAATTCAATCATAACAGTTTACGCGGCATACCCAGTAACTAACATGATCGTGGTTGATTGAATCAAATTGGCCATATTTTTTACCAGGAAAACTCGGTTAGATCTATGTACCTCGACTGGCCGAAACCGCAAATTTCGGATTACTCCCCGCGCACCCAGTTTTCCACATAACCTTTTGTTATATTAACTAGGCTATATGGGAACAGGACGATGGATACTCTTGGGGAAATTATGCTCATAGTAGGTCTCTATAGTCGCTGTCGCGTGTGTTCTCGTGATACGTAAGACTTGACTCTGTATTCTCGTATAAAGGAAACTTAGTTACAACGAATGGATGGATGTTGAGACCTCCTTATATCTTGCTCCAGACTTACTGTGTTGTTCACAGCCTAGTGCTAGAACATTCTCTTATGATATGATTTCTCTCCTACGAGAAATGAACAGCTCGTTCTCTCTCAGTCTATCAGTCTCTCGCTCATTCCATTATCTCTATTCTATCGGGCTCTTGTTTGGTCCATTATACCCACACATGCATTACACACTAAACACCCCACGGTTTAGTTCCACAGTCACGTGCATATGCTATGACGCGACCTAAAGCATGTACCATGGTAAGCTACATCGATAACACAACACCTTTTCTTTTGGGTACAAGGCTCCTTACAAAACGGTGGCTGAGTTCCACGGGTAATTACTAAGCTAAATCGCCATCCATCATGGGCGCAATATTATAGATCTCTTTGGCTACAAAATCTGGTAGAAGCGGCATACAATGCATGTCCTGGATCAAGAGGAGCCAGAAGTGCTAGATTCTCATTGTCTCAAGCAGGACTATGAATAAAAAACCAAATTTATTATCAATCGTGTATCACATGAGGAATGATGACTAATTAATTTGATGAGTAATGAGTTACCCGTTTAGGGATGGCGTTCGGTGAGAGTGGTATGATGATGATATTTTTATCGTGACCGGGTACTGACCCAGCACCCAGGGGGCATGGCACGGGTAGTCCAGATCTATATAAGACTCTTCGCTACCTACATGATTGGTTCATAGGAGCCAGAAATACAGAAACAAAACAAATAAAAAGAAAAAAACACCATTTCTGAGGTGCTAGCGCCCTGCACTACACCTCCATCCTCGTGCCACACTGAGCGGCCCTAAGAAGCAATACAGCTGACATTCAAGTTCCCTGTTTATGATTCAATTTTGCTGTAACATTTTGTTACAGTTAGAAAGCGCCAGAATATCTGCCATCATTCTTGCCCTATCATATCCCTTGTCGTAGGTCGTGGTTCCTTCGTTTCCGTCCTCCATTTCTGGATGGTCGGGCGACACTCTGCAAAATGCCATGGCCGTTTCTCTCGTCCGCATTTGCATCGCATTTCTTCATTCGGATGTTGAAATCGTCTGTGATAGCTAGCGAAATCACCATGCCCAGTCCTTGCCGCAATGGGGCGGTGATATGCCCATCGAGGTAAAGCTAGCTCCGGAGGGCGTTTTCTTCGCATCAGTAAGTCCAGATCTTTATACCTGTCCGATCTATATTTATGCCACCAATCTTCCGCGAGTTTCTGTACTCGTATTGTGACTTGGCGTTTAAGTGCTGCGAATGTCAGGACTTTGTCAGATTCCTCCTGAGTGCACTCTGGTCTCGGGATATTTCCTTCCCTGGTTTTTGATGCAAGGGCTGCCTTTGCAATTGCGTCGGCTTTATCGTTCCCTTCAACACCACTGTGTCCCGGAACCCAGTGGACTTCTACGGCAGGCTGAGCCTTGGATAGTTCAAAAAAATTCCGGACCTCAAACTGTGAAGAGCTCGTTCTACCACTCACAAGGGCTCTTACCGCCTCTTGATTGTCGAGGAGCACCTTGATACCTATACTACCTCCAATTTCCGACGCCGCTTCTAGGCCTCGAACTGCCCCGACGATTTCTGCATCAAAGAACTCTGCTCCTGGGAGAAAATTTCCACCACTCGCTATGAGTTTTCTGTCCCTGTATATAGCATAGCCATAGGCTGAGTATGCTGGACCAGTCGATGACCCATCAGAATATACACACAGCGTCCCTACAGGGAGATTTCTAAGCCAAATGATTAGTCCGCTTCGACTTTTCCTCCTTGTCGCATTTGGCTCTAGCCATAGCCCTCGCGATCATCGGTTGGTAAAGCTGTCCAGGTCCTTCTGATGCCGGTTGTTACGGCTTGAGTTTACAGATGATAGGTTTATGGTATCACGTGATGTGGAGTGTGGTTGAGTAAGCGTTGGTCCCGGAAGCGAGCTGGTAGAGTTTTCAGCCCAGCGAGGCTGCAGATCTCTTTCTCTCCTTGTCTTTTCTTTTAGTTATCGTGCGTAGCTTTAGGTCCAAATACAAAGCAATTACCCTTTTATATTTCGAGGGAGTCTTCTAGTGTCAACCTGAGGTCGGTCGTAATACCGGTAGGTTAAGGTTACCATTCTGAAGGCGTGTCAGATATCGCTCTGGAAACTTGAAGACACGATCTTTTTGCCCCTCTCTCAGTTTGAGTCGCTTAATTGCTTCCTTTGGTGTCTCAGCTGCCCTTGACGACAAAGGGTGATAGCTGTCGAGTCTGCGGATTCTGGCTGCATTTCGGAGCTGTTGCTGCTGTAGCATAATTTCTGCCGGTAGTATCCCTGACTCACGGTGCAGAACTATATTTGGTGTAGTTCGCCACACTGGCAGTGCGGCTCGAACAGCAGTCAAAATAGTTCTATCTAGTAACTTGAGGTGCCATCCGACACCCGTACTTACTCTTTTATCTCGTACCGTCGTGATACGGGTGAGTCCAGGCCACCAAGCTTCAGCGCCATAAATTGCCGTACTGACTACACATGCGTTCACTGCACGGATTAATGGTCCCGGAGCCGCACCTCGTTGGACCCTATTAATACTTCGTATAAAGTGAGATAGTTGTTGTGCCTTATTACACCATTCTTGAACATGTTGTCTAAATGTCAGTTGGGAATCGAGCCAGACCCCGAGCCATCGAATGTACGCGGAAGGCGTAATAAGCTGTCCCTCAACCCTGACTGCGAGGTTGGATGAGTCTAGTTTCTTCTTCGGTCCTCCTCCTATAACCAGGAGCTCGGACTTAGAAGGGTCGAACCTTATCATGTGCGTTGAAGCGCGTTGGATTATCCTGTCTACTTCTACCTGGGCAGCCTCAACAGCCTCACTAGGATTTTTACCGACGCGAACAATGGCAATGTCATCTGCATATCCGAATATACAGTTTGGGGTTCCATCTTCAAGTAGGATTGAGATGTATAACATAAATAAAAGTGGCGATAGTGGTGATCCTTGGGGAACTCCGCACTCAACAAGCTTCTCATCAGTTACACCTTTTTCGTGTCTCACCAAAACTTTTCGTTGTTTCAGAAATGATTCTACCAGGCGACAGAGTAGTACTGGCCAGCCCTGACTTCGCATTCGTGCGAGCAGCCGATTGTGTAGCACTGCATCGAAGGCACCTTGTATATCCAGCGTGACCATAGCTGTGACTTTGTTGGATCTCATTGCAGCTTCTGCATCGTGTATAACACATGATGCCAAGTCGACTGCTG